GTGTTAGAGACAAGGCACTACAACGGACAGAAGATTGCCTGTCTGGCAGAAACCAGAGAGTGGAGATAAAAGGGTCCTTCTCAAGATGGCAGCTGGTGACCAGTGGTGTTCTGCAAGGGTCAGTGTGGGGACCACAACTTTTCATTTTATACATTAATGTCTAAATGAAGGATCTGAGGGCATTCAGGCTACGTTTGCAGATGATACAAACATAGGTGGAGGGACAGGTAGCATTGAGGAGGCTGCAGAAGGATTTAGATAAGTTAGGAGAGTGGGCAAAAAGTGGCAGATGGAATACAATGTGGGAAAGTGTGAGGTCATTCAGTTTGCAGGAAGAATGGAGCCATAGGAGAAAATTCAGAAATCTGAGGTGCAAAGGGACTTGGGAGTCCTCGTCCAGGATTCTGTTAAGGTAAACATGCAGGTTGAATCGGTAGTTAGGAAGGCAAATATAACATTAGCAGTTATTTTGCAACGACTAGAATATAAAAATAGGGATGTACTTCTGAGGCTTTATAAGGCTTTGGTCAGACCACATTACATTATTGTGAGCAATTTTGAGCCCCATACCTCAGGAAGGATGCAATGGCCCTGGAGCAGGTCCAGAGGAGGTTTGCGAGAATGATCCCAAAAACAAAAGGCTTAACATACAAGGAATGTTGGAGGACTTTGGATCTATGCTTGATGGAATTTAGAAGGGGGGGATCTAATTGAAACTTACAGAATACTGAACGGTCTGGACAGAGTGGACATTGGAGAGATCTTTCCATTAGCAGGAGAGACTAGGACCTGAGGGCACTGATTTAGAGTAAAAGCAAGACCCTTTAGAACAGTGATGAGGAGAAACTTCTTCAGCCGGAGAGTCGTGAATCTATGGAATTCATTGCCATAGAAGGCTGTAGAAGACAGGTCATTGAGTATATTTAAGACAGAGATAGATAGGTTCTTGATTGTCTGGGGGATCAAAGGTTATGGGGAGGAAGCGGGAGACTGGTGTTGAGAAACTTATCAGCCATGATTGAATGGCGGAGCAGACCTGATGGGCTGATTGGCCTAGCTTCTGCTGCTATGTCTTGTGGGTTATCCAGTTAAGACAGTGATGTGGAGAGGAATTCCATCTCCCAGAGAGAAGTGAATTACTGGAACGGCTAATTGTTAAGTATATTCAAGACTGACAGAGTCAGATAATCAGCAAGGGAATCAGGGTTACAGGAAAAAACCAGGAAAGTATGACTGAGAACTCTCAGTTCAGCTATGATCTGCATGAACAGCAGAGCAGACTCAATGGGCCAAACAGCTTACTTCTGCTGAGATATTATGGTCTTGTAGGGATGTTTGCAGGGAGGCTTTAACACAACTGACACAAGTGAAGATTCTAAAGGGAGAGAATCAAAACTGGAAAATGAAGGCAGAAAATTAAGAATAAAGTATGCCTAAAAGCAGCAAAGACTAGAAAATAAAAGCAGTTGCTCAGTGTCTGGTAATTCAATTTCAGAAGTCTAGTGAATTAGGTAGAGGAGTGAATGGCACAGATAGATACTTAGATATCTATCATAGCTATTGCTGAAAGGATTCTTGAAGGAAAAAAAAACTTGCATTTTATAAAGCAATTTTCATTCCTACCAGACATCTCAAAACACTTTACAGTCTAAAATGAAAATTTTGTTGAAATTAAAATACATCTGTAATTCAGGAAATCAGAGTTAATTTGCGCACTACAGTTCCGACCATCACCAATGTGTTTGTCAACAGATCAACTTTTCTTTTCTGGTGCTGGAAAGGATAAATATTAACCACAGACAAGGAATAACTCCCCTGTTCTTCCTCAAAAATAGTGTCACAGGACCTTTCGTATCACTTTGATTAACTTTTCAACTGAAAGATGATACATCCAATAGTACAGCACCCCTTCACTATTGTAGTGGAGTCCTGTTGTAGGTTTTGTGCTTAGGTCCTGGAGTGTAACTTGAACCTTGAAACTTCTGATTCAGAGGTGAGCATCTACCAAGGCACACTGACATGTTTTCACCCACGATAGAGAGGAGGATAAGAAAGTTAGTTGCAATATCAGTTAAAGAAACAATAAAATCTTTGAAGACTGGTGTGACAGATCATGCTTCAAATAAATTCCTGCAATTTGGACTAAAGAGCAAAGGAGGGCAAAATATAACAGTCAGCAAAAAAAAAGGACAATAAATATTAGGATAATTGCTGAGAAGTTTGCTGGAAATTGCACAAAGAAAAGAGATGTGTATCAACTACTCTAATAAGAACTTCGGTTAAATTCAGCATAAAGGTACAAGGGGTGCAAAATTCTTAAAATGTTTTTGGGGGAATTGGTATACTGTAGGTGGCAAGCCTTGGTGGGGGGGGGGGGGGGGGGGGGGGTTGGGGGAGAAAAGGGGGGAGTGCTGGACCTAACAAAATTGGTATTTTTCCAATTTAAATCTAAGCAGAAATGTTTAGATGGGAAAAGTGAACTGGAGAAGTGGAAAGATTCAAGGAAAAGTTAAAATGGACATGGAACAAGTATATTCTCACAAAGAAAACAGGACTCTAGAAACACCTGATACTCTGTCTTGTGATTCCTAGCATGGAGAAGAGTGGAATAAGATAACATAAAAGAAGAAAACGTAAGTTAAATGCCCAAGAACTCAACATTGTAGAAAGCCTAGAAGTCTGATGAGTCAATGGGGTGAAATTAAAACAGAAATTTAGAAAGCAAAGACAGAGCATTACAAAACAGTAAACCCCAAAAATGTTTTATCAATACATAAGCAGGAAAAGAATAATTAAAGAGAGAAAGATCAATTAGAAATCAAAGAAATACCTTCTGTGTGAGGGTGTTAGACATAAGTACGATTCTTAAATGAATACGTTATGTGTTCCCACAAATGTGGGACAAAGCAAGCATTGTAATTAGGGAGAAGTATGAAATATTAAATTTAATAAACATGATAATGGAGGAAATATTAAGTTTTCTTGAATGTGAATAAGTTAGATTAAGCTGAAATGTACCCCAAATGCTAAGGGAAAGCAGGCAAAAAAAAATAGCAGCAGTTCAAATATTCTCCAATTCTATCTGGAGGCACAATACCAGACAAATATGACTATACTGTTCTTTAAAAAACAAAAGGGAAGAAAGGCACAGCCAATCAACCTCAAGTCGGTGGTGAGCAAATTACCAGAAAGAAAATTCAGTATAAAGTGTCATTTAGAGAGGAATGGTTTCACCAATGACAGCATGGATTTATTAAGTCAAAGATTTTGAGCAAGTAAGGAGGGTTCAGGACATCATGTTTTATGTAGTCTGTGTTTTTAGCAAGGAATTGGTAGGTCTCACTAGGCAGACTGTTCAGAATGTAAAAGCTCATGGAATCAAGGTGAAAGTGGCAAGTTGGATCCAAAATTTGGTCAGTGGCAGAAAACAAAAAGGTATTATTGTTGGCTTCATTTCACTGCAAGGCTGTTCTGGGTGGAGTTCCACAAGACTCAGTGTCGAGTTCTTTTTTTGCTCATGTTAAATAGTAAGACAAGTTAGAAGCATGATTAAGAACATTGCATTTGGTACAAAAATCAACCACGAGATTGACTGTGAAGAGGAAAGTCGCAGACTGCAAGAAAACATCCATTAGGTTAGGTGAGCCGAAATTGGCAGGACACGTGGTCCAGAGGGCACACAGTTTACTTTCCTTTATTGAGGGCTAGAGTATATGCTAGTGCTTTGTAAACGACTAATTCACCTGAAGTGAGAAATCAGCCTGCACTACAGGAAGATGAGATCACATTAGGGAGCATGCAGATGAGATTTAAGAGGAAGTTGTCAGTAATAGTGAGTGTTAACTATCAGGAAAGATTGAACAGGGTGAGGTTCTGTTCTTTGGTAAAGAGGAAGCAGAAGGGAAACTTAACTGGTGTGTCGCATTACGAAAGGGCTAACTGGAGTGGATTGTAAACAGAGGCAAGGACTGAAAGTAATTGGTAAACAGGTTAGAGGAAAGTCAAGAGTATTTTTTTGTTTTTCATTCTTTGAAATGCTATAGCCTACAAAGGTTATGGATCGGGGGAGTGGAAGGTGAAATTAGACTGGCTCGGTTTTTTTCTAGCTGTCACCGACATGATGAACTAAGTGGCTCCTTTCTGTGTCTATATTCTCGATATTTCTAGTGATACTGGTTGGCAAATAAATATTGGCCTGGGATTCTCCTCTTTTGTTCAAATAGTACCAGGGGATTTCTTATACCCACCTGAACGGTTGGATCGAGTTTCGATTTCATCTCTCATCTGAGAGACAGCACGCCTAGTAGTCAGCACACACTTAAGTGCCAGTGTCGATTATGCACTCAATTCTCAACAACGAACTGAATTCACAACCTGCTGACCTCAGGTGCAAGAATGCTACCATGTTGTCAAAATTTGCTTTTGACAGTTCGCTCTACAATTCAGAGCTGTTTGCATATAAACTCAATGCAGAAGCGGCAGACTGCGCAACGTACCCGTAAAGCCCCTAAAAATAGTGCTGAATAGTTCCGACATTGAAAGCAGCCATCGTGATGCTGCAATCTTCCTTTAGCTCCAACAGAGCAAAAAAAAAATCAAGTTTGTCGAAGATCTATAAAGTATTTTGCTGCCCAAATACAAGTGTGACAAAACGTCTGTCCGGGCACAGACCACCAGAACCAAGAAAACTAAATGGCGGAAAGTGCAACACTACTTATTGAGCAGATAACCGAGTCTCCTGCTTTATTTGCACCCGGGAACATTCAATACAGTCTACAATCCCACCACCAACCCCTGACCCAAACTCAATCATCGCGGCTCACCGTTTTACGTGCCAACCGCAGCCTCCAAACCCGCCGAGGGATCAGATATCTTTGACCCCCTGATGTGGGAGTGAGAGCTGCTGCACGTAGAGGGGACTCGCTCTCACCATCCCCAAACACCCCGACGTTAGTTCACAATCCAGGCCCTTCTCGGTCACCGCGGCCCAACTCACTCACCTATCGAGCCAAAAAGTCCAGGACGAGTTAAGGGGGACGCCGGACTTGTCGTGGTTGTTGATCTCCTCGATGTGGCCCTGGTTGAGGTGAATGGTATCCTGCTCGGCGGCCGGCGGGGTAACCTCTGCAGCCTCCCTCTGTTTCTCCAACTGCTGCTGTAAATCCTGACTCGCCGGGATCGCCATTTTCAACACCAACCGCCCGAAAAGGAGCGAAGCGCATGCGCGGCGCTGGCCACCTGGGGCCGATGGCGTCATTCGGATTACGTCATGGCTGCGGTCTCAGCGGGGAATGAATGGAATCCCAGAATGGGCTGTCGCGGGCCATTCAGCCCATTGTGGCCGTGCTGGCTCGCTGAAGGAACAATTCGCCCCATGCACCACCGAAAAGTTAATGTCAGCGCCACTCTTACACCCTGTCTCTGTCGCCCCGCACATTCTTCCTTTCCAGGTCATAATCCAATTCGTTCCTCGATGTCTCCATTGAAATCTGTCTCCAATACACCCCCTAGTTAGTCCATTCCAGATCTTGACCACTCCCTATGCGAAAAAGTGTTCCTTCACATTTCCATTGCTATTACTTGTTTCACTAATTGCCTTAAATCTGTCCCCCACTTTCGATCCTTCCACCAATACGAATCGTTCCTCCCTGTCTACTCCATCCGAACAAATCTTACCAAATCTTGTCTCAATCTTTTCTTAGAGGAGCTCAGCTCCAATCTCTCCAAACTTTGTGAAATTGTCATCCCTGGAACCAAACTCGACTTTTTTTTGCACCCTTAAGAACACTTCTACATTCTGTCTAAAGTAGATGGTCAAAACTGGATTATATACCCCAGTTGAGGCTGAACCAATGTTTTATAAAAGTTTTTCACAACTTCCTTGCTTTTATGCTGTATGCCACTATTCATAAAGCCCAAGAAACTTTATCAAACATTCTCTCAATTTATCCTGCTACCTACAATAACATATGCACATTAACACCCAGGTACACATATATATTCACCCCTTCACTGCTTTATAATTGTAGGATATCTTTTATATTTTCCTTACATATTCTTTCTACCAAAATGAATCACTTTACGTTTTTCCATGTTAAATTTAATCTGTCACATTTGCCCATTTCACCAACATACCAATATCCCCTCTATCGTTTTAAATCCTACGAATGTCTGAACGACTTCCGCTTTTACCAATTTGTTCATAACCTTTAAATCTTGTAAACTATTGACACTAAATGGCAATATCATCAACGCAAGGCTAAATGTACTTGGTGGAGTAGGACTGTTCTTTTAGTTTGGGACTGAAATGTGCAATGGGAAAACTGGGATCTATTTGCTTAATAGTATCACATGTCACCATCCTCTAGCCATTTTGAAAAAAGAGGTGCCTTCGCAAAAGTGAAACAAATATTGCTGGTGGTAAACGTGAGTTGTTGGTACCAGAAGAATGCTACACACCTCAGGATGGATGCTTTAAATATTTATGTCCAATGATTTTAACATTTGGCTTTATATGAACACATTTGTAGAGGCATACATGTACATGCACAAATTACTTAATTTTTCCTCTTTGGGATGCTGGCAGAACTGGCAAGGACTACATTTATTCCTGCTATCCCAGGTTCCCTATGAAGACTGTGGTGGGGCTTCAGCTTGAAGCAGTTTATTTTGACTGAATGAAGGAACTGTGGGTGGAATCTTCTCAGGTCCTGATTAGCACGGGCTCTTGTTAGACTAGTATCAGGATCACGCAAGAAATCCAGCGAGGGTTATCTTGATGTACTGAGCAACTCATTGCATCTTACATGCAACTGTTGTGCATCAAGGCAAGATTTCACTAGGCAGTGGAGAGTTGTCTATTATGGGAGATTATTGTTTGTTTAATATTCTTAACTGCACATCACACATCATTGATATGTAGCTCCCTACCTGACAAAGCCACTGAGCCAACTAGATACTGAGAATTCTTGACATAGGAGTCAGAGCGTGTACCTGGTGATCTCAGCTTACTATTGGTCGTGAAGAGCTTTCATTGAAACACAGAAACATAAAAGATAGGAGCAGGAGGAGGCCATTTGCCCTTTGAATCTGCTCAGACATTAATCACGATCATGGCTGATCAACTCAATAGCCTAATCCCGCTTTCACCCCATAACCTTTGATCCCATTCACCCCAAGTGCTATATCTAGCCGCCTCTTGAATATATTCAATATTTTGGCAACTACTTCCTGTGGTAATGAATTCCACAGGCTCACCACTGTTTGGGTGAAGAAATGCCTCCTCATCTCCGTACTAAATGATCTACACCGAATGCTCAGACTGTGACCCCGGGTTCTGAACACACTCTCATCGGGAACATCCTGCCTGCATCTACCCTGTCTAGTCCTGTTAGAATTTTATAAGTCTCTATGAGATTCCTCTTCATTCATCTGAACACGAGCGAAAACAATCCTAACCTAATCAATGTCTCCTCATACATCAGTCCCGCCATCCCTAGAATCAGCCTGGTAAACTTTCACTGCACTCTCTTGAGAGCAAGAGCATCCTTCCTCAGAAAAGGAGACCAAAACTACACACAATATTCTAGCTGTGGCCTCACCAAGGCCCTGTATAACTGCAATAACACATCGCTGCTCCTGTACTTAAAACATCTCGCAATGAAGGCCAACATACCATTTGCCTTCTTTACCGCCTATTGCACCTGCATGCTTACCTTCAGCAACTGGTGCACAAGGACATGGTTCATGTTGCTCACTACCAAACTGCATCTCAGGGCATGATCAATAGGCACCCTCTTCCATGGACATCGGCGTCCAATATTTGCCAACTACTCAGCATCCTCTCTGATCCACTTTCAAACACTAATGAAGCTCAGGTCTGCATTTTAGGACAAACCAGCAACTAGCATTGAAAGGCTGCTGCAAGTACATTTTGTATACAAGAATAGGCACCCATCTACAGGTTGGACCTTGTTGCATCTCAAGCTCTCGTAGCATTTGCTCACTTAGTGCTTACATACATGGTTGCAGCATCCCTGCTTTCCTTTGCCTTGCTTGCCAAATAGTGCAGCTAAACAACCAGGCAACTATGTCAGTATGAGATAGTAAGAACTGCAGATGCTGGAGGTGGAGAGTTATCTCCGCCTCCAGCATCTACAGTTCTTGAAAAAGTTATCTCTGACTCTAGCATCTGCAGTCCTGAGTGAGTTATAACCCCACTGTGAAGCGATTTTCTGAAGAAGGGTCCCGACCCAAAACGTCAACTTTCCTGATCCTCTGATGCTGCCTGGCCTAGAATATAGAACATAGAACAGTATAGCACAGTACAGGCCCTTTGGCCCACGATGTTGTGCCAAACTTTTACCCTAAACCTAAGGTCTATCTAACCTCCACCCCTAGCTTATCCTATCATCCATATGCCTATCCAATAGCCGCTTAAATGCCCCTAATGAGGCCGACTCCACTATCCTCTCCGGCAATGCATTCCACCCTCCTACCACTCTCTGAGTAAAGAACCTACCTCTGACATCTCCCCTATATCTACCTCCACTCACTTTAAAACCATGCCCCCTCATAATAGCTACCTCCACCCTAGGAAAGAGTCTCTGGCTGTCCAATCTATCTATACCTCTGATCATTTTGTACACCTCTATCAAGTCACCTCTCATCCTTCGTTGTTCTAAAGAGAAAAGCCCTAGCTCTCTCAACCTTTCCTCATAAGACCTTCCCTCCATTGCAGGCAACATCCTGGTAAATCTCCTCTGCACCTTTTCCAATGCTTCCACATCTTTCCTGTAATGAGGCGACCAGAACTGGACACAATACTCCAGATGTGGCCGAACCAGGGTTTTGTATAGCTGGAGCATAACTTCACGGCTCTTGAACTCAATCCCTCTATTAATGAAAGCTAACACACTGTACGCCTTCTTAACAACTCTATCCATCTGGGTGACAGCTTTCAGGGAACTGTGGACATGAACCCCAAGATCCCTCTGCTCCCCCACACTGCCAAGAATCTTTCCGTTAACCCTGTATTCTGCTTTCAAGTTTCTCCTTCCAAAATGAATCACCTCACACTTGTCAGGGTTAAACTCCATTTGCCACTTCTCAGCCCAGCTCTGCATCCTATCAATGTCCCTTTGCAACCTAGAACAGCCCTCCACACTATCCACAACTCGACCCACTTTCGTATCGTCCGCGAACTTACTAATCCACCCTTCCATTCCTACATCCAAATCATTTACGAAAATCACAAATAGAAGAGGACCCAGAACAGATCCTTGTGGTACACCACTCGTAACTGAGCACCATATTGAATATTTTCCGTCCACCAGCACCCTTTGTCTTCTAAGGGTCAGCCAATTCTGAATCCAATATGCCACATTTCCCCCTATCCCATGCCTCCTTACTTTCTGCATGAGTCTACCATGGGGAACCTTATCAAACGCCTTACTTAAATTCATGTATACCACATCCACTGCTCTACCTTCATCCACGTGTTTGGTCACCACTTCAAAGAATTCAATAAGGTTTGTGAGGCATGATCTACCCCTCACAAGTCCATGCTGATTATCATGAATGAAACTGTGCCTATCCAAGTGATCATAAATCCTATCTCTCAGAGCCCTTTCCAATAATTTGCCCAACACTGACATAAGACTAACTGGCCTGTAATTTCCAGGGTTATCCCTATTCCCTTTTTTGAACAAGGGAATGACATTTGCCTCTCTCTAATCTTCCGGCATGGACAGTGAGGACGAAAAGATCATCGCCAAAGGCCCTGCAATCTCTTCCCCTGCTTCCCATAGAATCCTTGCATAAATCCCATCAGGCCCGGGGGACTTATTTATCTTCAAGTTCCTCAAAATTCCTAGTACATCTTCCTTACTAACATCGACCTCCTCTAGCCTACCAGCCTGTTTCACACTGTCCTCCACTACAACTAGGTCCCTCTCAGTTGTGAATACCGAAGAAAAGTATTCATTAAGGACCTCTCCTATCTCTTTAGGCTCCGCGCACAAATTCCCTTTACATTCCTTGATTGGCCCTACCCTTTCTCTGGTCATTCTCTTATTCCTCACGTACGTGTTAAAAGCCTTGGAGTTTTCCTTGATCCTATCTGCCAAGGCTTTCTCATGCTCCCTTATAGCTCTCCTAAGCCCTTTCTTCAGCTCCTTCCTGGCTAACTTGTATCCCTCTAGAGCC